TTTTTCTCCTTAAAATATGGATATCTAGAGCTAGCAATCTCCAATTTAAAACTACCACGACAAAATTAATTTGTAGGTTATCAGGTCCTTCTAATTTTCATCGATTTTGAATTAGAATCTTATAATTTATTTTATTTTAATTAAATCTGATCCTTATAATTTGGCCGGTTAAATATATTAGTCCTTAAAAGCTAGAAGGACTTAATGAAAATAAAATAAATAGAAAAGACCTAATTTAAAATTAAAAAACTTAGAAGGATCTGCAGATTAATTTTTTTAATTACCAATATCAAGTTAAAAGCAAAATAATGTCTAGAGAAATCTTTTGCTTAGCTAATGCAACAAATAAAGAAGTAAATTTGCAACTTACAAGATAGAGATGAATGAGAGAGACTAAGAATGCCAAGGAAAATTACAAGAAGGAAAGCAACAAATGCCGTTATGCGATGGCAGAGGTAAAATTAGTTAAGTAAATTAGAAAAAAAGTTGTTTTCTAGGCAGCATAAATAATGTATATGAATATATAGTTTATGCGACAATTACAAGAAGGAAAGCAACAATTGCCGTTATGCGACGACATAGGTAAAATTAATTAAGTAAATCAGAAAAAAATTCATTTTCTAGGCAGCATAAATAATGTATATGAATATATAGTTTATGTGATAATTACAAGAAGGAAAGCAACAAATGCCGTTATGCGATGACAGAGGTAAAATTAGTTAAGTAAATTAGAAAAAAAGTTGTTTTATAGGCTTCATAAATGTTAATATGTATGTCTAGGGTAATTTGAATCCTAAACTTTTGAAAAGCACATTTTAAACTTTGAATGATTAAAGTTGAGAAATTTTGCTCCCACCATTAAATTTGAACAAACATCCATAAGTTTTTTAAAAATTAAGGTCTAATATGTAATTTTCACTATGAAAGTAAGAGAGTGAGGAACAATAAAATTTAATAAAAATAGCACATTAGATCCCAATTTAAAAAAATTGATGGACATTTATTTAAATTTAATGATGTGGGCACTTTAATTGTTTGGAAAAAGTTTAGGATTCAAATTGTCTCTAAACCTATAATTTAGAGTTTAAATTATATATTAACCCTATTTTTAATCTACAAGTAGATTAAAAAAAAAAACTTGGCAAGGTAGACACTATATATTTTTAAAAATATTGTAAAAATATGATATTGTTTTAATATCTTACCCAAAGCAAACAAGTTATTCTATTGCTAACCATTTAAATCATCATCAATAATATGCTTAAGAATGTGCTACCCTCACCACTTCCACAATTTTCCTCTCTTTCACATTCATTGTTCAAATTAGAAGGCCTCTAATGTTGTTTTTAGCAATAAGAAGACATCCAAATTTGCAGAGCTTTGAATAAAGAAGTCGTTCATGATTATGATGATGTGATTCAAATTTACATATAGGTTTGTTTCTACTATATATCAAGAAAAATAAATTAAACGTAAATATAATTTAATTTGTTTTCAACAAAATACTTTTTGATATGCTATATATTCTTAATCTTCTCACAAAAATTAATGTATTTATACGCTCATTCAACACGATCTACATTTTAAATCAACTCCAAGTTGTCTTAATTAAACGTGGGAGATGTATGCCTGCATATCATCGCATTTATGCTATGCTTTGCTCAGAAGAAAAATTAGAGAGAAGAGTAAATGTGAAGAGAGAAAATGACAAGAAGAGAAAAATATATAGAGGGATGTGAGAGCTTGTTTGAAACTGTTTTTAATTGTTTTATTGTTATGAAAACTAATATTTTGTATAATATGTTGTGAGAAAACAAAATAATGAAAACATGTGGTTTTCACATTCTCCATTATTTTTTTAGGACAATAATCCTAGAATATTTAAAAGATATTTTATTTTTCTATTATTCAAAACAATAATTGATTTTTTTGGTGCCAAAAATACCTTTTTTTAAAACATGTTACTAACCATATTTTTTTGTTCTAGAGAATTTTTTTTAAAACAGGTTGTTAAATAAGTTCATAATTTTCTCTCCCTATGTTTGGTTGAGTGAGAGAAAACATGACAAAGGACAAATTGTTAATTTCATGTGGACCTTATTATATGTTAAAAAATATTTATATATAATAAAATTTAATATTTTAACATATAATTTATATAGTTTTTATTATATATTACTGGTCTAATAAAAATATAATCATAAATTATTTTATCTTATGCTAGCAAAAAATTATTTTGTCCAATTTTAAACTTTATTTATTAAATTATTAAATACTACCTTCATTTAAAAATGTAAGGCATTTTTTGAGAAATTAAATGTTCAAAAATATTAGGTATTTTTAGTATTTTGAGGTGTAATCATTGCTTTTTTTTTTTTTAAAAGTACCTCTATGGATAATAATTTTATATTTATTATACGATGTTTAACAGGGATAAATATAGGAAGATAGGGTTAGTTAAAAAGTAGGTAATTACTTTATTGGGGTAAAATTTAATTAAAAATATTTTACATTTTTTAACGGAGGGAGTATATAATAATTTAAATTTTAAAGTGAAGAAAAATTTGAATGAAAATTAAGGGAGGTAATAGGTTAGAAATGAAAAAAATCGTGAATAAATTTGAAAGTTAAGTTTTCTATTCAGAATCTTTTCATATTTAGAGAGAAAAATTGAAGGTAAAAGCATGTGAGTCTTGCATTTTATTTTCTTCATAATTTTCTCTTTCTCTCATTTTTCTCTCCTTGGTCAAATAAAAAAAAATGTTATTTTCTCTCCACTTAACTCTTCTGTCCCACTTTTCTTTTTCCTTTGCTCTTCTCTTCTGCCAAACATAGCAGTAATGTTAAGAAAATAGAAAAGTTGTTGAGTTAATTGAAATATTAATTTACAGTTCCATGATTAGATCGTCATAACTAAATTAATGTATTTTATATAACATATATTTAAAATAATATGTATTCAACAATATTTCATAATCTTCATCCAAATCCATAAAAAGGATATATTACGGATTCGTCTTGTACAAATAAATACTCAAGTAGCATGAAAATTCAGCAGGAAATGAGTAGCATGTCATAAAAATTTCATATAAAACAGAAAAAAAGCTCTACAAATTTCAGTTTTGAGTTGCGTTGCTTCATTTTTCTCTGCTCATCAATGACACGTTCTTCCTTTCAATCTTCTTACTTCCAATTTAATTTCAAATCCTTTAGAGCTCCTTTGGTTGTTAAAAAGAATATGAATAGAATAAAATTTAAAAAAAATAAAAAAATAAAAACCCGTACGGCGCCGAGACACTAGCTAACAAAGCCATCGCGACCATGAGGCTAATGGAAGACGAATTTGGGAAAAAATAAAAACCGGCAGGGCCGGTTCTGTGAATGAATTTAAAATTAAGTGGACCAAGTTGTAACAATCTAAGATGAAAGATGAAATTTGCAAATTCATGTTCTTCTCTTTATTGATTTGTGCCAAAGAAAAAAACGCGTATGATATGATGACGCTTTCCTTCGTTAAATATGAATTGGTTGGAATTATGAGTCGATCGGCTTCTTGTCTTTACTACACTTCGGCATTGTTTCGTGCTTTCGTTGTAGATATCTAGAAAATTAAACGACATGAAAAGAAAAGATACATTTTAAAAAATTAAAAAGGACGAGAAGGTAAGAAAAAAAAAGGCAAAAATTGCAGAAAGATACCTTCTTATATATATAACAATTCAAAAACAAGGGCCAGTTAAAAAAAAAATTAGAAAAGACTCAAAGAGAAGTCTTCCATCCAATTACGCGTAATCCATCGCTATTCTTTGCTTTGTTTAATTACATAAACTATAATTATTAAGGGAAAGCAACCAAACAAATGAAAGATGATGGAATTAAAGGTCAAACAAATAATAAATAAGGAAAACTCCCCGTTCCGTCGCATGGAAAGATCCCTAACAACAAATCTATTGGCAAGTAATTTATTTTAAAATATAAATCTATAACTTTATATGAAGTTTTTTTATATTTTATATTTTTTAAAAAATATAAAAATTTATTTTTTAAAAAATATAAGACCTATGAAAGGAAATTAATTCCCAAATCAATTAATTAGTTAACAAAATAAAATATTAAAATAAAGGGTAAAATAAATTTACCGCCCTTCTATTTTACTTTTACGATAAAAATCTTACTTTTATTTTTTACAATCTGCATAAATTTATTTTAAATTAAAAGTTGGAAAATGCAAATCTCTCTCCTATTTTTATTATTTCAATTCTATCCAGCATGACTCGACATACCCCTCTTTGACATTAATGACGTTTGCAAACTTATAGATTACCAAAAAATAATATTAACACAAATATTTTAAATTTTTTAATCATATTTTAAATTTTTATCTATTCAAACTCATTTGTTTAATATTTTTAAAATTTAAATATATAAGTTAGTTAAAATAATATTTAAAAAACGTATGTAAAAATGATGAAGCATTTAATATAATAGGGATGAATTAATGAATATAATTTATGCTTACTTTATAGTTTATTTAATTAAAAATATTTGTTTAAATATTAAGATACTTAATGATCTACAATTCTTTAAAATGAAGACAGAGCAACCCATTAGATTATGAGTGTAAATTAATAATTTAAAAATTTTACAAATCTAATTAATAAAGTTAAGCATTTTACAATCTTTAACATGCATAGTATATATCAGGAAAAAGATCCCATGCGTCCAGTCGCAAGTGAGCTCTTCAACATAGTATATATTAAGCATTAGAGTTGAGTAGTGAGACAATTCACTTATAGCTGTGAGCAAAGGTCAGTGTATTATCCATCTACACCTTGCACCATTATTCATTACCATTTTTCCCCCTGTATTTTCTACTCATATTTGATTTTGATTTGTTTTCCTTTATAACTAATGATGTGGCTTTGTTGTTGTAGATCGCAATTTTACTGGTGCAAATTATATTCTCAGTTCATCAAATACTTATAGGCCAAGACATTCCCATGGCACTGAGTGTCCATGAAGCTTCGTCCTCAAACTCTTCTAACTACTATCCAACACCAAAGAAATTTGATGTTTTCTTGAGTTTTAGAGGTGAAGACACTCGTAAAAACTTCATAAGCCACTTGTTTCCTGCATTATGTGATAAAGGATTCAGAGTTTTTAAGGATGATGAAGAGATTAAGAGAGGAGAAGTCATTTCAAAAGAACTCCTACAAGCAATTGAGGACTCTCATTTTGCAGTTGTTGTTCTCTCAAAAAATTATGCCTCTTCTTCATGGTGCTTAAAGGAGCTCCGACATATTATGCATTCAAAAAAAGAATTTTGTCTACAAGTTTTTCCCATTTTTTTAGGTGTAGATCCTTCTGATGTAAGGCGTCAAAGTGGAAGTTTTGCTGAAGCTTTTGCCGAGCATCAAATGCTTCAAAGGAACCACGAGGAGATGGAAAGTTGGAAAGATTCCCTTAAAGAAGTTGCTGGCTTATCTGGTTGGGATTCCAAGGATATGTAAGTTTCTTAATTATGCTATTGGGTAAAATTATGTGGCTTATATTTGTAATCCGTTCATGGAGTTAAGCTATTTGTTTGACATGTATGAGAGATATGTGTTATGTGGCTTATATGCTTAGATTTGTGTTAAATATATGAGAGATATTTGTACTTGTAGGGATGAAGGAGAACTTGTCAAAACGGTGGTTGAGGAGTTATGGACCAAATTACGTGAAAGATTGCCACCTTGTAATGAAAAGACAATTGGAATTGACAGCAAAGTCCAACAATTAGACAGGTTCGAATGATGTTCGGTTTGTAGGAATTTGGGGCTTAGGGGGTGTGGGTAAGACAACAATCGCAAGGGAGGTTTTTGATAGATATCGTTGCCAATTTGATGTTAGTTGCTTTCTCGCCAATGTTAGGACAACTTCAGAAAGAGATGGCGAGGTTGAGTTACAAAGAAAACTTCTTTCACGTCTCAAAATTAAAAACAAGGAAATTGAAGACGTGTATAAAGGAAAGGAAATAATCCAAAACCATTTTCACAGCAGAAAGGTTCTACTTATCCTTGATGATGTTAGTCATGAAACCCATTTGCAAAATTTAGCAGGCAGCCCGATTTGGTTCGGCAATGGGAGTAGGGTGATCATAACAACTCGAGATTCGCACTTGTTGACATTTCATGGAGTGCGTGTGGTATTTGAGGTTAAAACGATGAACCCAAATGAATCTCTTCAACTCTTTTGTCAGAAAGCATTTGGGGGAGATGAACCTCCAGAGAGTTTTTTGAAGCTGTCTAACGCTGTTTGTGATTATGCTGGAGGGCTTCCTTTAGCTCTCAGTGTCTTGGGTTCCTTATTATATGGAAGAAGTGTGTCTGAATGGAAAGATGCTTTGGATATGTTGAAGAAAGACCCACATAAAGATATTTTCAATGTACTCAGAATAAGTTTTGATGCATTAAGCAATACCGAACAGACAATATTCTTAGATATTGCTTGTTTTTTTAATGGCTTGAGAAAAAATGTAGTAACACAAATATTGACAAATTGCGGTCTTAATTCAACATTTGGGATAACATCTCTTCATCAGAAGTCTTTGCTAAGGGATTATGACAATCATCTAGTGATGCACGATTTGCTAGAACAAATGGGCAGGAGAATTGTTGCTGAGAAATCTCTTAATGAAGGTGTTGGAAATCGAAGCAGATTGTGGTCCAAGGAAGATATTGATCTAGTACTGGAAAACAATTGGGTAAGGATTATTGATCTTAATTGTTATCATTTCTAATATCGTTTTCCTGGTGGCTAATTAATTAATGTTGTTTATCAGGGCACAAAAGAAATACAAGGCATGGTTTCGCCCACATCTTGTGAGGCCTGCTGGGATCCTGAAGCCTTTTCAAGTTTGCTTAACCTCAGACTCTTCATCGTCTCACATGTCAACATTCCCCATGGTCTTAAATGCCTTCCTAGAGCTTTGAAAGTTCTTCACTGGACAAAATATCCCTTAGACACTCTTTCCCATGGAGCCCGACTGGATAATCTTGTTGATCTTAAAATGCGTCATAGCCAATTAAAGAAACTTTGGAGTGAAAGCCCGGTATGATTGTATTTACTTATGCTTTGATGTTATACGTTGATAGCGTAATTGATTTTGCTACATATAGCACATTATTGTATTTTTACATTGATTTTTTTAGCGCTTGGAGAAGCTAGAGTTTCTGGACTTGAGTCATTCCAAATTCTTAATTAAGATTCCTAACTTCTCTGAGCTGCCAAAGCTGGTGAAATTAGAGCTTGAAGGTTGTGAAGATGTCGTTGAGATTCATCCTTCACTTGGACAACACAAAGAGCTTCAAGTGTTGAACTTGAAAGCTTGCAAAAATCTCAAGACCCTTCCAAGAAAATTGGAAATGACTTCTCTAAAGGAGCTTGATCTTTATGGGTGCATGAAAGTTAAAAAACTCCCAGAGTTCGGGGAAAATATGAAACACCTAGTGATGCTTGATGCTGGAGAGACAAGTTTAGTCAAACTTCCTGAGTCACTTGGATTATTGACTGGTCTGAGAACATTGAAACTAAGGGGCTGTAGAAATCTTGTTTGCCTTCCTCAGAGCATTCACAATTTGAAACGTCTTGTACTTCTTGATATTTCTGGCTGCTTAAAATTTTCTAAATTGCCAGAAAAACTGAATGAAATTGAATCCTTGGAGGAGCTTGAAGCAAGTGAAATTGATATAGGAGAAGTACCTAGTTCTATTGGTGGTCTAGAAAATCTCAAGACAATATCATTTCGTGGGTGCGAAAGGCCAAAGTCGACCTCTCGGAGCCTGATTCTGCTGTTGAAACACATGTTTTGGAGGCATTCAATTCACGAGGGCTTAATATTGCCTAGTTCAATGTTCAAAATGAAATCACTAAAAAAATTAGATTTAAGCAACCGTGGTATGGTTGATGGATCCATTCCGGGTGACTGGAGCGGCTTACCATCACTGGAGAGATTAGATCTAAGCGGAAACAAGTTTGTGAACCTACCTGATGGCTGCATTTCTAATCTTTTGAATCTACAATTTCTTTGTTTGAATTCCTGTTCAAAACTCAAGTCGTTGCCACAGTGTGGACCAACGTTAAACGCAATGGATGCCGGAGAATGTGCTTCATTGGAAACAATCTCAGGCGAACAATTATTACACCTCTTTGCTTCAATTGATGAACAGGTATGCGCGCGCACACACACACATGTGCCCATGTATTATTCTATGTATATTTTGCTGTTAATTATTATCATTATTATTATAACTGGCTTAGGTGGAATGGCCGAGGAGAAGGGAAACATTTGGGGTGACTATTCCAGGGAGTGAAATACCATCATGGTTTGAGAATCAGAATGATGTTTTTCTGGACAAGAGAGGTGAAGCTGTAGTGATGGTAGAGATGCCTCCACGTGAAGAATTTTTAGGAATGGGTTATGCATGGTGCTAGATGATAGGTTTTATTCCACTGGGTCGTCCAACCACATAAAATTGGGTTCGCCGAGGTGGTGGTTTGATTTTGCCGTACCTCCTCATCCCCCAGGTCGCGTGGTCTTGCTTCCAGGAAGCTGGCGTGAATTTGAGAAAGAAATAAAATCTGGTCACCTTTGGATCGTGTTTTGGAAACAAAGAGAGGAACTCAGTCATCGACTGCAATTAAGCAAGTACAGCCAGATTCCCCTGAGATTTGAGATCGATGGTAGCAAGCCATATCCACGAGCTCCGATAAAGTGTGGATGGCGTGTCATATGCAAAGGTGATTATGAAAATAGTGGCAACTCAATAGTGCCAATATTGGAACAACACAGGGATGAAGTAAGTCAGTCACTTCAATACCATTCATTTAATTTTCAATCTGCTTTCTCCACTACTTTATTGATTTCATTTCAGAAGAGTATCTAAAATCTTAGCCTTTCATTTATGAGAAAAAGATGAAATTTTTTTTACCCATTAGCTAAAATGAAGAATTAGATTTTGGGCATGAAACATGACAACAGATGCACAGATACCAAATCTGTCGTCTATCAGTATTGTTGAACCGTTGAGAGTTTAGGACTCTTTTTTCCATATTAAAAATGGCTTCTCTCCTCTCCTGCCTTTCTTTTATGTTTTGTTTAATTAAAATATGAAACGTGCAGGGTGTTCGTACCCCAATGCCCCACAGACGGTTCAGTTCCAATTTTCAGTTTGCTCCTGCTGCCGCTGCACCACCAAGGAATGCCCCTGTCAGGGCACCGAATGCTATACAGAGACGCATACACACGGGAGGAAGATTTTGGGCCGTTCACGATGTCTAACGTCTCTGCTAATATCAGGAGAAAACCATGTCTTCATTAATATTTAAGAATTCAAGACACGTCAAACATTTCTATACTGTTGGAGATTATTTCTGATGGGTAAGCTAATCACTAGATCAGGCTAACACTTTGGTGCCAAACATATGGTAATAGGTTGTGGCAATTGGCAAAAGATGAAACTAATTGTAAATTAACAAATATGTTCTTGTATTATTTATTTTTTGTCTTTTTATAAATGAAGGTAGTTTTAGTACGCCTTTTAAAAGATGATTTGATTAACTCCTACAAAAATCGCATGACATTGAGATAAAATTGTATGTAGCAAATACAGGACCACAAGTTGACTGCGATGATTCAAGTCGGATCGGAGTCCTTGTGTGGGAAGGTGCATGGAAGGAAATATAGGGGCTTTACCTCATTCTCACTCTCATGTCTCCTTTTCTTTTTAGCTTTTCTGGGCAAGATAGATGATGATGGAGCCCATAGGATATACTCTAATTTTATTGAACGGATTTTGTAATTACTATCCATATATTCCTTGAATTTCACAATCATTTTCCAAAGTAAGCTCTAGTCAGTGCCTGTGTTGCAAAATGTATTCCTAGACCTGCATGCTTGAACTATTTATTTTTTATTTGAGTGTACATTTTGTATTAAAAAATCATAATGCTATATGTTTGGATGCATAAGGATTTGAATTTGGTTTTGAGCCAAATGCATTGTTTGGGTAATTAAAAATGCATGGATTTTGATTTGGATTTAAATCAAATCTAAGTTCTACCTCAATTTTTTTGTAATTTGAAATCATTTATAAACCCTTATTATTTTAGGTTGTTTAGTCTCTCCCTCTCTAGGGTTTTCTCTCAAGGGGTGGTGGGAGTGCGTCTCATTTTTGCGAGTGTTGGTTAATGGCATCCCCCTCTCCAACTTTCGCCATAGACAAAGATGTTCATGCTTTGTTTTTGTCGTGATCTCATTTTCTTCTTCTTTTGTTTTCGTTTGGTTTTGCTGATAAAGGGGTGGTTCATTAGATCAGCTTTTATCGAATCTAAGGGGCGTTCCTTGCGATATTGCTTTCTTGGTGTGGTTTTGTTTTTGGTTGGATTGATCTAAAGCTAGTTATTTTGTTCTGAATTTTTGGGGATGAGATAGTGGCGGCAATTTTTATGGTGGCTCTTGCTAGATCTTTACGATGGCGGTATATGGGCTGCTAGCGAAAGGTATCTCTTAGACCATCGGGTGATATCTCATGGTGCAAGCTTGCCATCTCATTTTCTTCTTCCTCTGGTTATGTTTGTTTCGCCGGCGTCCATGGTGGTTTTTATTACTTTGGGTCTCACTCTTGATAGATGGTTTTCAACTTCTTTGGTTGCTTCCTTAAAAGGGGTGGGACCTTTGGGTGGTTCTTTGAACCCGTACCCTTTATGGTTCATTTTTCTATTGGTGTCTTTTCTTTCTAATGGATTTCAGTGTGGTAATGGCACTTCTAGTAGCGGCGATGATGACGATGATGGTGACAGCGACTGAGGCTACTTTATACTTTCCTTGTTTTGTTGTTTAAGGTTTAGTTTTTTATGGGCTTTGTCCCTTTTGTTTTTGTGGGCCTTTTTGTTTCTGGACTGTTTCTCTTATATTTGTGGGCTTTGTCCTTGCTCTATTTGTTTTCTAATATATCTTTTTTTCTTTTGGTAAAAAAAAACCCTTATTATTTCAAATCTTATCTCAATCTATTTGTAATTTGAGTGGTCTGTCGGTGGAATAGGACCAGATTGTCGGCAGCGACTAAGACTAAATTGTTGCTGCTACCAATCAGGACTGAGCCATCGCCACTGATCAAGACGGAACGACCAATCCCTATTGGGATTAAACTACTAGCTCCAACCAGGATCGGATGGCTAACTTCCACCGAGATTGAATCATCGATAACAATCGAGACTGAAGTGAAAGTAACAATGAGGGCTGAACAGTTGGCTTCTACTAAGACTATATTGTTGGCACGAACCAAGACAGGACCATTGGTATTGATTGGGATTGGATAGTTGCTTGCGATTAGGACTAAACGATTGAATCCTATCATGATTAGGACCAACGACTTTATTGGGATCGAATAGTCAATGTTGATTAGGACTAGAGTACAAGTGACGACCAGGACTGAGTGACCAACTTCCATCAAGATCAGATAGCTTGCATTAATTAGGAAAGGATTGATGGCACTGACTAGGATCAAATATCAACTTGTGATAAGGATCTCAATGTCAACTACCACCATGATCGGGATTAGATCGATGACCTCGATTGGTTGTCATCGACGATTTCGTCCCAATTGAAGTTGTCAAACTCAATCACGGTGGGATCTAATTGTCCAATCTCAATTGTAGGTTGCCATCTAGCCCTGGTCAGCATCGGTAGGACATGTGTTAGGTCTCAATGGAAGTCAGTACTTTGATCTCGGTTGTCACCTGTACTCTTATCCCAGTCAATGCCAACGATTTGGTCTCGATTGTCTCTAGCTATTTTGTCCTGATCAGCATAGGCAATCAGGCCCCATTTGGTGCTGATGGTCTAATCCTAGTGGAAGGTTGCCATTCAATCCTAGTAGGCATCGACAGTCTAATCCTAATGAAAGTCAGTTGTTCAGACTGCCAACTTTGACTATGATTGAATTGCTGACGTTATCTGAGGTGCTTTTAAAGTCAAACATAGAATTTAAAATTTGAAATTTTATTTAAGATCCAAACAAAGGATTTTAATATTATAATTTAAAATTTTTTATATCATCCAAATAAAGAATTTAAAATCTATAAATTTTAAATGTAAGATTTCAATTATGAGATTTCAAATCTAAATCTCCAACTCAAATTCACACATCTAAACACAACCTAAGTATACTTGAGTATATTGTTATAGATATTTTTTTAAAAAAATATTATAAAGTTCATATTTTTATATTTATATCATTTTTTATATGTAAAATATCTTGTAAATGTTTTTTAATCTTTTTTTTAATTTTAAGACCCAATGTTTATCTAAAAAAATGACTCTTCAATCTTTTGTGTGTGTACAGAAGTATTTACTTCCTTCAGTAAAAAATATAAAAATTTTATCATAATTAATCTTGGTCTAAAATATGAGCAACTTAATATTTATAATTTTTTTTTCATTTTACTCGTTATATTTATTAGTCTAGATTTTGTAGCTATGAATTTATAACCTTTTTTTTACTCATCATAAATTAAAATTAAGGGTAAAAATGATATATATTTTAATGAGAATAAAAATTTTATTGGTACATGGGTTATTGTAAAAATTGCTGATATTTTAAATTGAAGAGACTATTATATTTTTTTATAATAATAACAGTTAATTTTAATGTTAAAATTAAAAATGGCTAAAAAAAATCTCTAGGCTTGAATAAATCTGAGTTATTAGAGTTAGACTTCGCTATAAAGACTTTTTTTTTTGTAAAAAAAAAACATTAGGCTTATTTGATCCCACTTGAATTAGATTACTAATTCTAGAGCAAAACAAGAGAGGGATAAAATTTGTGGTTGTTGAAAGTGATGGATTTAAATCCTCTGAATTTTGCTAACTGAAGTTTGGTAAAGTTGGGAGCATCACAACCGTTGCTTACATCAAGCCACAAAATTATGCCATGTAATAAGTGAAACCGTTGTGTTTCAGAGAGCAAGGTTTCTTATCGCTGGCATCCTTATGAAAAATATGACGATGATAGCACAGCAGTATTACTTCAACTGCTGCAAGTTTGCAATATTGCTCATTGTTCACAGTGATGGCACAGCAACTTCGACCAGGTTCCTTCATAATTTTCATTGTAATGTAATATGCTTATGTGGTGAATTTTTCAGAATTTTGGAAGAATAAAATTTGTTGGGGGAACCCGTTAACTTCCTGACAATTAAATTTATTTTATTTGCCTCTTGATGATGGGATAATAAAACGGCCACTCACGTCTGATTTATGAAAGGGAAAATTAAAAGCATTTTGTCACCATTTTTTCTGTATTAAAATTAAGGTTTTAAAAATCGGATCAGACCGGACCGGCCGGTTCAATCGATTGAACTGGGAATCGGCTCTTGGTCCGGTTCGGTTGACCCCTAAAAACCGGTCAGCAGAGAACCGGTCAACAACTAGTAAAATCGGACAAAAACCGGACCGATTCTCATGAAAAAACTGGATAAAATTTTAAAAAAAAATAAATCAAAATTAAAATTAAAATACATATTTCTTGATATTTAAATGAAAAGCTTCACTTATAATTAATATTAATTATGTATTTATCAATAATAAATTATATTACCAAGCATCTATAATATATTTTTGAAAAAAATGCATATTTAAATGTATTTCTTATTTAATTATGATACAAAAATTAAAAATATATTAATTTAATGTCAACTGGTTTGACCCTGGTTAGACTACGGTTCGACCAATGAACTGTAAACCAGTGCCTCGTCTGGTTCAATAACCAGTCCGGTTTTTAAAACCTTGATTAAAATCACTCCCACCCAAATGAAACACAACGTTTTAATTATTACATGACATATTTTTTGGCTTGATATAAGTAATGGTTGTGATGCTCCCAACTTTACCAAATTTCACATAGCAAAATTCAGAGGATTCAAATTTAAGATTTATAATAACTAATAGAACGATCCAATGCTAGAAAAAGCCGAGTCCTCCATGGTCCGTATCCATACAATTACGCTACAAATTACAATAATCCAATGCCTGCTCTGCCCTTTGAAAGGGTTTAGCATAAATTAAAAGTTAAATATTGTAGAAACAATATTAAAATAAAGAGTTAAAGTATAATTTTACCCTTAATCTATTTTTAAAGAAACAGTATTGCCTCTAAACTATTCATCCTAGCAATGTTGCTTTTAAACTAATTAAATCGAAGCAATATTACTTTTGCTGTTTAAATATTAATTATTGTATTTAGTGGGACCCATTTTCATGAGTTAATATGTAGTTTTTTCCTTAAACTATTCTTAGATGAACAATATTGCCCTCACCATTTAAAAATCATAAAATTAAATAAAAATAAAATTATAATAATATTAAATTAAATAATATTAAATGTATATATAAATATAAAATTATGATAATATTAAATAAAAATAGTATTTAATGTATATAAAAAATAAATATAAGAAAAAAATATAAATTATAATTTTATAACTTATCAAATATAAGTGAATCTTGATTAAATTAGATATTAGTAGACTTAAAAGTATCCATTATAATACAAGTTATAAAATTATAATTTATATTTTTTCTTATATTTATTTTATAGATACATTTAATACTTTTATAATTTTATGTTTATATATACATTTAATATTATTTAATTTAATATTATTATAATATTATTTTTATTTAATTTTATAATTTTTAAATGGTGAGGGCAACATTACTCATTTGAAAATAATTTAGAGGTAAAATTGCACCTTAATTCATGAAAAGTGAGTTCCGCTAGCGACAATAACATACGTTTAAAAGGTGGGGATAACATTACTCTAATTTAATTAATTTAGGGGCAACATTACTCTAATGAGTAGTTTAGGGGCACCATTTTACCTTAACCTTAAAATCAATCAAAGATGTAGGAAAGGTCAGTAAAACAAATAAAGGGAAACTCACCGAAAGTTGATTCCCATCCTGTTATATTGAGTTATCCACCCTTAGTAGATCAAGCCCATATAAAAGCCTAAAATTGAGGAATGGGATTCTTGTCACAATTATGAGAAATGCTTGGGTTCAATGTGCAATTTACTTAGGGCCTCAAATGTAATTTTCTCCATTTTTCAACCTTTGAATTTTGAGAGGGAATGGTTGAGAAACCGAATTTACACATTCTCGCATTTCTTCGATTATGGGTGTAGTTCTCTTGACTCTGAGTTGACAAACAAAACTCTCAATTTTTCTTGGCTTCTCATCCTCTCTGCGTGTATTTGCTGTGAGTCACAAATCGAGTTCGATCTGTAATTTCATTCCCTTATACAGTATAGCAATTGATCAACACAACAGGTATGCTTTCTTCCTCATATTCTTATATTGGCATCAGAGCAATTGGTTTTTCTAGGCTGCATTTCCTGTATTTGTTTAGCCATATACATGCAAATCTTCTAGTTTCGTTTTTTGTTTTTCTTCCTATGTTTTCACATAATCTGCCTCTATCAGTCTTTATGATTATTCTTACTAAAATGAACATATTTATATGCTCCTTGGTTGATATAAATGCTATATATAAGGCTATACACGTTATGCATGCGATCAACAGTGACAAACGTTACAACTGAAAACAAACCAAATAAAGGGTGTTTGAAAACTGAGTTTTTTAGAAAAAAGGATTGTATAAACGTGTAGAGCTAAAAAAAATAAAGAAAACAACATCAAGAATGCGTAAAATGGAGACCAAACGGAGGAGATATGACCTCTGGAAGTTTCGAGTCTGACAGACCCAACCCGCCGGAGGAACCAAGTCAAGTTGACCCGATTGGAGG